GCCCTGGTGAACGTCGAAGGTGGGGAACAGCCACCGGTAGCACAGGGGCCTAGGTACCCCCTGATTTTGCCAACATGCCTCAGCCAGAGACCGGTCAGGGCCCTCAGCCTCCTGTCCACACAGGGCAGAGGGCTGCCGCGGGCCGTGGGGGGCACCAGCCTGACAGCAATCACCGGCTCCCACGGAGTTGGCTCTGCTCCGTGAGCCAGTGGCGTGTGCGTGTGCATGTGCATGTGTGTGAGGCAGGCCAACGGCCGAGGGCCTGGAGCTGAGGGCAGCACTGGGCACTGACACATGGCAGATACCAGTGCCGGCACGAGGGCGCCCCCCTGGCTGCCATGCGCCCCCGGGCTGCCACGCACCCCAGGGCTGCCACGCGCCCCTGGGCCAGCTTATGCAGAACGGACCCATTTCACAGAGGGGAAACTGGGGCCCAGACCGACACACCGTAGACTTAGCTAAGGTCATCGGCCAGTATTTGGCCAGGCTGGGATCTGAACTCTGCCGTGGCCTGGGTGTGTCCCTCTCCTCGGAGTCACGTGTTGGGGTCTGGTGAGCCCCCGTGAGGTGTCGGGGTATAGAAACCTACCCTGATCCTGGGCTGGGAGCGGAGCTGACATTAGGGTGGGCCCCAGAAGGCCCCACCTGGTACCGACGGCTGCCCTGAGCCCTCCCTCTCCCCAAGGCCCAGCCCGGAGCCTCCTGGCCACAAGGTCGGGAAGAGATGTGACCGGGGAAGGACAGCCCTCGGCACCTGGTGGGATGGCAGGTGGTGTCACCTCTTGGGCCACCTCCGGATGTCCGAGGGAAGTTCCTAAGGCCCATGGGGGTATGGCAGCAGAGTGACAGACAGAGGGACGCCTGCTGGGCCCAGCAGGGGGCCCAGGCCTGAGCGCTGCACAGTGTGTTCCTCTTCCAGGGAACTGAGTCCGCCTGGGACCTGCACCCTGGCAGGGCGGGTGACCATGGCGGGGGGTCACAGGCAGTGATTCATGGTGGTGATTCTCACAGAGGCACCCCACAGCCTTCCCTGGGTACGCCTCTGGGGGGCCGGGCTGGGGCGAGGGTTCACGGTGCTGGGAGAGAGACGGAGACCACAGAAATGGTCTGTCCCTCCAGCAGGGCCCATGGGAGCCCGAGGGTCCGTCTTAGCCGAGCAAGGCACATGAGGCCTGAAGCCAGCCGCGCCAACCCTGGGAGAGGGGGTCCGGGAGGCCGAGAGCCAGCCATGGGGACCGTGAGCTGATGGCTGGCGTTCTCCCAGGATGGGGACCTATCACCCAGCCCCGTGTCCCTACTGCTCAGCACCGCAGCGGTCGTACTGTCTGGGCCGACATCCACACGGCCACCCTCACAGGCAGCACCCCAAACCCGAGTCCTCCCAGACTCAGCACTCCTAATGCTCCCGGGTCAGCAAAGCCCAGCCTCACCCCAGCGCCAGCGACTCCCTCCTACCCTAGTCCCCACACGGGGTCCTCGCCCGCCCACTGGCTCTGCCTCTGAAGCCAGCTCCCTGCCCCTTCTCCCCGCCTTCAGGACCACCTGCGAAGAGCGGGCTGCTGGCGTCACGGCCAGGGGACAGGTCTTCGCCAAGTACAGCTCACATCATACCCCAGCCACGGCACACCCTCACGTAAAACCCTTCCGGCAGCTTCCGCCCCCTCCCATGACCCCCGAGGTCTGTACCACCTGGCTCCCCGAATGCTCCCTGGCCTCCTATCCCAGCCTCCCAGCCACAAGCACCTCCTGGCAACTCCTCAGCCAGCCCAGCCTGCTCCTGCCCCGGGGCCTGTGTACGCGCTGGTCCCGCTGCCTGAACGCCCTCCCCGGAGCCTCCGTTGGCCGGCTCCTTCTCCCAGGCTACCTTGCCCCCAGCCCACTGTGCTGCTCCCACGCGCCGGGCTCGGCCTTCTCCCTGCCGAAGCACAGCCGGCCACGGGTGGCAGCTGGAGAGGCACCGCAGGCCAGCTGAGTGCTGATGGGGACGCCTACCAGGGTGGCCGCAGGGGCCAGGAGACATGGGGGTGCCTGGGCTCCTCCTCGGGCGGCCCTGCTTTGTCCTCAGAGACTGGTGGCTGTGGCTGGTGGCCAAGGGGGCTAGCTCCCTGGAGAAGGGCTGCTCTAACCAAGGCAGTGGGAGGAGACAGTGGTGGAGCCTGCACTGAGCTGGCCTGGGGTCCTGCTGCTCTCAGGCCACGGGAGCAGCCACGGGCCCTAGGTTACCCAGCGTGGAGGGCTCTGAGTCGGCCTGGGCAGGCCCTGCGGGTGCCTCTGTGGAGACATGGGCTCAGAATCCCCTGGCCCTGTGGGGATGGGGCAGAGCTTCCCATGGTGAGAAGAAAGCTCACCTGGGACCTGCGTACCAACCTCCTCGCAGCCCCGAACAAGGTCCAGATGGAATTGGAGGGCCAGTGCTTCCCACGCAGCACCAGGGCCACTGCCGGCCGGGCGCGGGGACCCCGAGTGCAGCAGCTTGGCATGGGCTGCACGCGGAACGGCAGGGCTGGGCTGTGGACTCGCTGCCCGCCCGCACGGTGCTTCCCACGCCCTGGAAAGGGCCGGTGCTGGAAGCAGATGTCACATGAGAAAACGGGGTTCGGGCTTGTCTGGAACACTTCCCTGGGTCTGACTCACCACGTGGCAGCTCTCAGCGAAGCCCACTTCAGCCACACGTGGGATCTCCTGCTTACCACAGGCCCTGCCGTCCCTACTGGACGCCACCCACCCATGGCCCTCTCAGCCCCCTGCCCGGATGCCGAAAGGAGCTGGTGAGGTTGCCCCAGCCCCTCCGGCCGCCACGCACAGGTGCAGGCTTACCTTCCTTCTCTGTGGGCGGCATGGGGCTTCTGCTCTTGCCCCTCGGACTGCCACCGGGCTGTGGGGGGGTGTCGCTCTCTGGCTGCAGGTGCTGAGCTGGCGCGGGGGCAGGGGGAGGCGGCTTGGGGGGAGCTGCGTCCTCCCGGGGAGGCTCGTGGGCTTTGGTGACCTGCAGAGGGGACAGAAGTGAGTACTTTCACAGGGGCCCGAGTGTGACAGAGGGCAGTAGTGACCTGCATGGACTGCTGGCCACGAGGCCCGGGAGACAGGGCAGCCCTACACCCGGGAAGTGGGGGTCTCAGGACAAAGCCTCCAGGGGCCTGAGCAGACACAGGCATGCCCCCGACACCCCCTCACTGGTCCTGCCCTGCCCTCGACACCCCGTCACTGTCTTGCCCTGCCCTGCCGGCAACCTGTCACTGTCCTGTCCTGTCCCCCAACACCCCGTCACTGTCCCCCCAAGGCAGGGGAGCCAGGACTCGGGGTGCAGCCTGACGTGCCAGTGCCGTTGCTCGGAAAGCCGGCAGCTCCGCCCCGTGGGTGGGAGCTCGTGTCCAGAGCCCCAGATTCCTTTGGGAAGTGAAGGCCTGGCTCCCGGGAGGGAGGGGGTAGCCCCAAGGGCCCCGCCTGGCCGGGAGAACCTCAGTGGGGGTACAGGGCACCCTGAAGGGCCTTCTCCGGCTGAGGTGTTGGGGGATCTGCCTCCCAGCCCATACTTGGTCTGGAGCTCAAGAAGCCCTGGGTGGAGAGAACCAGCGGCCAGCTCTGTGGACACTGGTGACAGGACAGGGCCCCATGGCAGGGATGCCCCACTGCTTCCCGGCTGCCCCTGCATCCCCGTGGGGATTTCTCCCAGAAGCCGGAGGCGTGAGCACTGGGCTGCAGGTGTGGCGTGGCCGGAGCGTCGGGCTGCCCCTCAGTGGAAGGGCAGTGGAAGGCGGCAAGGTCGCGGGGCCCTGCAGGAGCCCGGGCCACGGGCACTCACGATGGGAGGGATGGCGGCCGCCCGCTGCTTCCCCGCTGCTTCAGCTGCTTCAGGTCCAGGGGCTTCTGGGGTGAGGCGTTGGCCCTGAGGTCGCCGGTCGGGGTGAGGAGGCTGGGCCTCGGGGACAGCAGCCTGTGGGGACACGAGCGTTAGGTCGCAGTGGTGCACAGTGGGCCCCTCCTGATGGTGGCGCCAATCCGGCTCAGGCCCTGCATGGCGACACCGCCCCTCCTCTGTCCACACGGACCCAGTAGGGCCAGGCAGCCTCCACTCTAGCCCAGAGCCCCAGGCCGGGATCAAGCATTCCTGGGACAGCCCCAGGCCAGAAAAATCCAAAGAAGCCCGTCTCAGGGCGACGCCACGCGCAGCCCGCCGGGTTGTGCAGGAACGCAGAGCGGACCAGATTCAGGCACGGTGAGATGAGATTACCGCGGATTTATGGGATTACCCATCGCTCAAATCTGAGCAGCCTGGGCGCCGGCACCTTGGGCCTGGGCCAGACCGACTCTGGCTACCGGGGACAGGAGCTAGGAGCCATGCCCACTCCTGGACTCCCCCAACATCCACCAAGGAGGGAAAAACACACGGGCCACAGGCCTCCTGGAGGGGCCGTCTGTCCACCACTTAGTCAGGAGTGCCGGGCCCTCTGCTGTTGCTGAGGTGTAGACCTGGAGACCCGCAGAGGGTGGACACGCCCGGGCAGAGCCTGTGCTGACTATGGTGGGCACTGCCTCCTTCAGGAAGTCATTGGGGATTTCCAGGACCTCAGCACGCGCCACGGGGCCCTATTGGATTCTCCAACTGGCTCAGCTGGTGAAAGGTCTCAGAGGGCAGGAAGTGGGCCTGGGCCCAGGAGCCCTTCGCCAGCCCAGTGGACTGCAGGGGCTGCCAGTTCCACT